TGCTTCTTCAGAAGTGCAAATATACCTGTGTATATTAAATTTTTAATCTTCAACATACTACAGAATTTTCTTTTTTTTTCTTCCTTTGCGAACATAATAAATTAAATACCAAAAAAAAAATCTATTGTTCTTTAATGATATTCAAAATCCATTGCATGGCACATCTCCTTTTGCTTCTCCTATCAATGGCTGTGCTGGCCCTGACTATATTAATCTGAATCCCCCCTGCCCCTGCTTTTTGCAACATTTTGCAAAATTAAAAGGTAAACAGATGTAAGACAAAACCACTAATTTCCATTCTTTCATCCATGTAGGCCTTGAGTTTCAAGAGAAGAGAAAAACTAAATTACAGGCAACCCTAAACAATAGAAGACGGAAGGAACAAAAGGAAGAGGAGCAAAATACAGGACAAGGGTGGGCAATTACAGCCCTCCAGGTGCTTTTTCAAACCTACAATGCCTATAATCCATATCAGTATAGCCAATGGTATGGAATGATGGAAGCTAAAATTCTAAAACATTAGTTGCACACTTGAAATATAGAAAAACCTAGGGGAAAAGAAGAACCTAAAAGAAGGACCAGTAGCTTGAGGAAAGGATATAAGGAACTGAGACAATGAGGGACCAATCACAGAGGAGGAGGAATAAAGAAACTTTGTAGGACTAAAGATAGAAGATGCTGTAGCCTGTGGAAGGAGAGTTGCAGGAGCAGAAAGTAAAGAAGCTAAAGGTGCTCAGTTTATAGCTAGAATTCCCTGTGCCCTGAACATGGGACAGTCTTGTTGGGGTTCAGGCAATGAGCAGGCTGATGGGCTTTGTGATGATCATCACATGGTAGGTAATAGGATAGCAAAGAGTCTCTTAGCAATAGATAGAAGAAGTCAGCCACACACACAGATGGATGTCTGCCAGCAGTACTCCTGGTGGGGGACTCAGCAAGGAAGCAGAATGAGAAGTCGTCTGTCCCTCTGCGATGTTCTCTTTCTCTGCCATGAGACTGTCCTTTTATTAACATTACAAGGTCACAGGTAGTGACAGCATTACAGATAGTAGACAGGGTCCAGATAGGACAATGGTTACATCATGTTATTAGAGTTGGTCTGGAGAAAGGCAATTAATCAAGCCCTCTGATTGGCCTAAGGAAAGGCCTCTATAGCAAACTCTCTATGATAATGAGAAGGAGGGAGAATGATGGCAGCTCCTTAGGAATGGTACCCCCACACAGTCTCCAGCTGTAGCTTCTAGTACAGTTGTTCCCAACCTTAGGTCTTGGGATATAACTCCCAGAAATCCTGCCTAGCATAGCTAGTGGTAAAGGCTTCTGGGAATTTTAGTCCAAGAACATCAGGGGACCCAAGGTTGCGAAGCAATATTCTAGTGTCACTAGTATCTTCTTAGAAATGGCAACATTAATAGGGCAACACAGGACATGGATAGGCTGGCAAACACTGGATCTCATACACCCATCAGGCAACTCTCCACCTACAAGCCTTAACATATTCTTTTTTGTATCCAGAGATCATTTATATGCATAAGAAAATAGCACTGTGCTAACCACTGTCCCTAAATTTAAGGGTCTTGACTGCTTTGAAATGTAACCATTTAGCTGTCATTCCATGCAGTCCAAATCAATAGTTTTCAGAGATTATTGTGGTCTGTCTGAATTGTGGACAAATGGCAAAGGAAATCTTCCAAAGCCTTATTCAGTTCTATTCAATATTTCCTACAAAGAAGTCATTAGCCAGTAAGATCCATATCATTACCATTGTGAACCTTAGTAAAAAAATATAAATATATAGTGTTAACACTGAACTGCTGGAAGTATGTCACAGGTCAACCACCCTTTGAAAACCTTTAACCCACTTATCCTTGGCAAGGTGACTAAAGGGTATATGGTCTTGTTTTTTAACTTTTGATACTGATTTACCCAGGAGCTACTTTTGACTACACATATGCAATTCTGTCTGTACACAGTTAACGAAAAAAAAAAACCACAAGGATGTGGTCTTCAGTTCATTTTACATAGGCCTGCAAATCAGTTTTCCTTCCCATTTTTGACCCTCATTCCTCAGATTCCTTCCTGAAGTCCAATTTAAACATGATGCCAGCAGCTTTTAAGCAAATTGATGAAATTCTTTGGGGGAAAAAATGATTCCGCTTTCATAAATAATCTCCACCTCCATGAAGTCATTCACAGGCCTTTTTTCTCAGTCACAAGTATGGCATCGGTATCATGACTGGCTCAAGACATGCTTGAAATATGCAGTTGCTTTGCTCTGCAGTTTTGTCAGCTTCTTAGACTGCCTGGGCCAGCACAGCATAAAACCCAGGGGGGCAAAAGTCAGGAATGTTAATGCCAAGATTTTATTTTCCTCAGCTGCTAATTGCATTTGTTCACCCTCTTTAGGTACTTAATAGCAATACAATCAAAGAGAATACAGTACATGAATGTTATGACAATAGAACTACTTAGAATACAGAGAAGAGAGAGATGGATGGACTGGAAGTAGAATCCCAACCCCACTGAAGAGATTTTAAGAGTATGCAGATGGCCCCTGGACCCTTAGTCACTTATATTGGGCTTAGTTTCTCAGTCTGCAAGTCAAACCTCAATTTTGCGGTCAGAGAAGTCTGTAACTAAAAAAGTCTGTAAGTCAAGCCGTCTGTAAGTCAAGGGCCCACTGTACAATCAAAGAGAATACAGTACGTGAATGTTATGACAATAGAACTACTTAGAATACAGAGAAGAGAGAGATGGATGGACTGGAAGTAGATCCCAAGTATGCAGATGGCCCCTGGACCCTTAATCACTTATATTGGGCTTAGTATTTCTTTAGTTTTATATATACAACAGGGAGAGCTGTAAAAGCAGTGCAGCGTAATGGTTAGAGTGCTGGGACTAAGACTTGGAATATCCATGTTACAGTCATGAAACTATGTGTGGGGCCATGGGCCAGTCACTCTCTCAAACTGACCCACCTCACAGAGTTTTTGTGAGACTGGACTAGAGAGAGGAAAAGCCTGGTGTCCTGCCCTGTACTCAGTGGAGGAAGGGCAAAATGCAAATATACATAAGAAAATATGTATATATGTATATGTATGTGTATGTGTATACACACACACACACACAAACACACACACACAGAGTACATGGCTGGTTCACACACAGAGAGTGTAAGGTGTACAGGAGAGGGTAGCCTATATATATATACACAACACACACACACAAACACACACACACAGAGTACATGGCTGGTTCACACACAGAGAGTGTAAGGTGTACAGGAGAGGGTAGCCTATATATATATATACACAGACCTCACAGAGTTTTTGTGAGACTGGACTAGAGAGAGGAAAAGTCTGGTGTGCTGCCCTGTACTCAGTGGAGGAAGGCAAAATACAAATTAACATAATATGTATATATGTATATATGTGTGTGTGTGTGTGTGTGTGTGTGTGTGTGTGTGTGTGTACACACACACACACACAGTACATGGCT